AGAGGCAGGAATGGGGAAGGGGCCAGCATTAAATCCTTCAAGCCTGAGCCCCTTTTCTTAAACCACCTGCCCCCCTGCGGGTCACAAAGGATGAATTCTCCCATCGACCTGGGCCTCTGTAAGTAACCTGTGACATTTACCGGGGAGGTTGCAGGACTCTGCACACCACCACTGCCTTAAGCCCAGGGCTCCCCTGGGACACTCCTCCCGGCGGGGGAGGAGGGAAGGGCGCACACAATGGTGGGAAAATTCCCTGGGTTGGGGACCAACTCATCATTGGCCCCAGGCTCTGGCTTTCTCACCACCTCTCCCTCTTGCATGGAAAACTGACTTTCCAAGCCACTTGTCTGTCCTGGACCTAGAGCATAATTACTGTTTAGTTCAATTTACAGCCCCCCCCCCAGGTACTTCAACATTTTTTCCCATTCTAGTTTCAAATATATTTAAAGAGGTAGTGTTTTCACAATGAATTGTATTGCTTCAGAATCATGATAAAGCTTTGTGACCACGGACCAAGGTGAAACATCTGAAATGGGGGTGAAGAGTTTGATGGCCTTGTTGTAGTAATATTTTCTTCTCTGCACTGTCAGAACCCGTGTACCAATCTAAGGCTTTATTCACACATTTGCCTGGTACGGAGTACCCCACTATTCCCCCAACCTTCTTGGGGAAGGATGCTAGAACACCAAGAGATGCCACTATCTAAATACTTGACCTTGAGTAAATATTTAGTCTCCTTAACGTTCTCATTTGTAAAATGAGGGTGCTGAACTAGATGGTCTTTAAGATTCCTTCCTACGTACACACCAGGCTCTCAGCAGTAGTTACTATTCTGGAGGCGTTTTGAGTTCTTTGTTTTTCCTAGTTAGTGTGTATAGATTTTGATATTTTAAAAAATAAGTATTCTTTAAATTTCTTCTCTAAAATTCTAGAATTTTAGGATCGATTGAGCACCTATGCTACCCTCATTTACAAGGCAGTTATGGACAGAAGAGAGTGAGAGAGTTCAATTAATGTTTATGGAACTGAAAACTGAATCCCACTGACAGATGCTTGTCCCTTCCCTCAAAAAGGAAAGAGTCCAATTGAGAAACCATTGGGGACGCCATTACGACTCTATCTAATAAAATGTACATTAGGACTCAAGGAAATGGAAGCCTGAAGTAATCAAGGAGAGCTTCACGGAGGAGGCAGTCCCTATGCTGGACCCTGGAGGATGGGCAGAGTTTGGAGCACCGGGAATACTCTGCCTCCTCTGAACTCTTCCGGGCCAGCAGCATGTGCCCTGAGCCGCTTGGACGTGTGTATATTTGTCTATAACACACATCATTTCCTCTGAAAGCACCTTGTGCAGAAGGACTGGCTTTAAGTTATCTTATACTCCCCCATAGCCAAGCCCACTAACTTATACACAGTAGTGTATAATAATAATAGTGTATCATAATCTGTGGAATGAATGATCCATCAGTGGAAGAAGAAAAGGTGGAGTGAGGAGACGCGACATGTAACCTGAAGCCTGAACCAGCTGGTGACAGGCAGAGGGCCAGGAGGACAGTGTCCACCTGGGGGAAGGGTCAGGGAGGGGGGTGGGGCACAGAGAAGGATGTAAGGAGGATGGGCATGGGGATTCCAGACTGTGAGGGATCTTGACACTAGGTCTTGACACTTCTCTATCAGAGAAGATGATAGAAAACCACTGTAGATGCTGGAGCGGGGGTCCTGGGAGAAGGTGACCTGGCAGCGATGCTCAGTGATGGAGAAGGCCAGGCATCACACCCCAGCCTGCTGGCGAGTGCGGGGTAGGCCCAGGATAGGCCTTCAGCACTGAGCTCCCCTCAAGGGAAGGACCTCTGATGGTGCATCAAGACAGCCTGTGGGTTCACCGTAAAGGGATTCACAGTGACGCTCAGGGGCTCGTCCTCTGTGGACCACAAAGCATCCTGAGAGTGCTGATTAAGCCTGAGAAGCTCCTGAAGAGGGGGGTTTGTGTTCATCTGTTGGAGGAATAGGAGGAGGGGGCTTGGCTTGCCCTGGGTCCCCTTGTGAGTCAGAGTAGCCAGCTCACCTCAGAGGCACCAGTGGCTTCCCACTCACCCTCCTGCTTCTGATCAGGACCTGAACATGACCTTAAGCGCAAGAGATCTGGAGGAGAGAGGAGGTTCCCTGCTCCCCTGCTGTCCTAGTGACTCTGCTCAGCTACAAGGTGATGCATGGCCTTCTTCCAGCCTAAGAAACTCCAGACAACCTGACATCTCCTAAATTTAGGGTCTTTTTTTTTTTTTTTTTTTTTT